AATACTATATGTAAGGGAATTTTAAAAAAAATGTGCTTCATGTAAGTGGAAACCATTCTGTTTGTTGTTCAGTATAAATTAATTTCTATTATATTCCAACATTATTTTTGATTCAATCGAGAATTTTGGAACGCCGCGATCGAATACACTGTAAATTTTTCATGAAATATTCAGGGAACCAATCTTCGGAAATTTTGTATGAATTGTATCTAAGTACAAAATGATATGTTATTATCAATATTACGAGTAATGTTTTGTAGATTATCAATCTGCTACGTTTCATAATCTGTTCCAGTAACTATGCTTTCAATTATCTCACAATTATCGGTTGTTCAGAGGCACAACTTGATTCACCAAACTGTATATTTGTATCGCCCGTCAAATCAATCTGCGTATCCTCAATATAATGATTATAAGACATTTTAATTTCTGTTTGTAGCATATTGAGTAGACCCCACTGGAGCTAGTATAACAAGTATAAACAGATGGCGTGAAATAAGTTAATTTATTCCATCTTCTTCTCACAAATTCAATACTGAAGGCATTCATCTACTCTCTTCCCTTCTTCAAGGACTGACGTGGATTTTTTGTCGACGACATTATTGATAATTGCCATTATTGCTCTTGACAAGTTCGATTTAAAATCGGGTAGATTACGGAAAATCCGCAGACTGACAAATTTTCACGTACCATTAGCTTTGAAACATCAATAACAAGGAGAAAGGAAATTGTGAAACTTCTGAGAGTCATTTATCATTCTTGCTATAAAGTGGTTGGACAAGGGTGGTAGAAGGATGATATTCCGAATTTAGAATATTCTTCTCACACCTTCCTGAAAAGGTATTGAAAAATCTTAATGCACTGGAAAATATGAGGGAGCAACATGGAAGGAGGCAGATAATCAATATTGGAGTATAGAGAATGTGGAATGCATCTAAAATTTCAGGGGATGAGAGTTTCAGAATTTTCGAATATTTTTAGAATCTCAGGTGTTAGTGGTGGCACTACATTACTATGTAAAAATATTCAGAAACAGTCACGATATAATATTTTTTTCAACAACAACAAATTCAAGTGTGCGTGGTTTTTTTATTTTTCGTATATCTGAAAAAAAAATTGTATTCCTATTGATTAGTTCCTCAGTTGATCACATAATAACTATTGTACTAGTGTTTAATCATATGGAATAATCGAAGAAAAAACTTGAGGTTCGTATTTAAAAAAAAATTGTGATGTAGAGCCAGAAAACGAGATTCGACAATTCTAGTTTTTGACGTTTATTTCAATAACAACCCCTGATGTTCTTGATCTGAAAAAATGTTTATTTTAGTTCCCCAGAATAGGAAACCAATTCAACCTTGTAGATCAGAAATTTTGCGAATGAAACGTATGTCAGCGAAGCTCATTCAAAATTGCTGAATTTTGACCAAAAAAACATCATGAGCATCACTCAGGAATTATAAAATGGCGTCAACGGCGTTCTAGAGTTGATCAAAAGGGTCATAACTGGTGACGAATCATGGGTATATGGTTTTGACATCAAAACCAAAGTCCAATCTTCCCAATGGAACCAAGCAACGCTGAGAGTAGGTAGTACACACTATACTGTTCATTGACAGTACGAAATGAATTCTGTAATACTATAAAATGCCCTGAAACTGAACAGGTTTGGCTGATTTTTCAAGTCATCATGTAGCAAGTTAAAAAAGTTTGCCGCTGCATAATTTGGATATTTTTTATAAGTCGAATAGTTGACAATTTCCAATCTGAACTGGTTTCTTTGACGAGTTGAGTAGTGGAGGACATCCACATTTCGAATAATATGATGTTTATGAATGTAGGCTAATATTAATAATTTATACAAATAGATACTCTTTGAAAACATCTCTGCAAGATTCTCTAAAACCCAAGTGGAATATCGATCGTATGATTCTTTTCTGTGCTATGAAGTAGGGGCACCATAAACTATAATATTATGACTAATGAAAGAATATATTAATGCATAGTAAATGCTCATGAGACCTTCTTCATTCAGGGAGCTCTATAATCTTCTCACCGCAAAGAAGTATTTATTCAAGGTGGAACATAGTCACCTAATGCATATGTCCCATTTGAGGTTTTCGATGATTGTACCCAAAAACTGGGAGCTCCTTTGAAATGTGATTGATGAACTGTTTATATCCAGGTTTTCACCGATGGCCCTTCCCGTAGTCGATACGTGGAATTGAATAGCAACAGTATTCCAGTAGTTTAATACTAAATTTTTCTTCTGACACCAGTGGTCGAATTGATTCAAAACCTCTTTTGTTTTAGCTACTTGTTCACCTCTCTTAGGGCCAGAATTGAAATTAAGAAATCATTTGCGATTATGTGAACCTCTCCATCTTTCACATATTCGGGAAGGTCATTTATAAGTAACAAAAAAATCAGTGGACCCAGGACGCTACCCTGAGGGACTCCTGAGTCCACTAAGAATCGATAAGATGCTTTATTATTCACTCTATCAGTTTCCTCCCTTCTAGGACTAAACAGAACCAGTCCTTAATTTTTCCACGTATACCGAGTGCATACATTTTTGTCAAGATGAAATTGAAGTTTCTGAATGATGAAAAAGGTAATTACTCACTCACGATGTTTGCAAATCATTATAGCTCCTCGTTCATCGAAATCCATAACAGTCCCAAAAACAAATGATATCGCTACAACTCCGTACAACATCAAAGTCTACGATATTGTCATACTTTGTATTGTCTCATGAAATTTTCCAATCGGAAATCGAAAGGATAAAGCCTTCATGAGTGTCCCGTATAAAAGAGGGTGTGTATCAAACTGCTTATACAGTGTGGTCCACTAAGTCTGCAACAAATGGGAAACTTTTTGATTATCAATGTCTCAGAAAATTTTATTATTGACAAAAGTTGGTTCATGTTCCAAAACTATACCAAGTGTACCTGAAATGACTTTATGACAAACACCATACAGGATAGGCCAAAAAATATAAAGTTCGTTCAGGAGTAAAGTACCCTTATTTCAAAAAATATAGAAATATGTTGAAGAGGAAAGTTGCTTAGAATTGAAAGTTATGTTCAGATACAAAGTCATGGCCTGCCATTCGAATTTTTTTTTCTTCTGGAAAATTTAATTACCGCCGTATGATACATATTTTTGATTTAATATTCATTTGAAGTAGCCACAATCAAATCAGTTTGGAGTATTTTTCATCAAATTGAAGTGTTTTTGTAAAATTTACTTGGAATTGTATTTTTTTAGGTGACCGTCAACTTCATGTTTGTTTGCAACGATATTTAACAGAACTCTAGAATGAAACAAATACTCTTTTCAACGAGGCAAATACTTCACTAACTAAATGTTCATATGAATAAACTAACAATAAGAGTATAAAATTTCTTTTATTCTGACAACAATGCCTCAACTAGACCAAATATTAAAAAACAATCCAATATCTATCGCGGATAGCCATGGACAAAAAACACATACGCCCTAAAACAATACTGTAGTAGTACAAAATCCTAGAAGGTCCACCCAAGAAATAAGTGATTATACCGGCATAAAAAAACATCTGTGAAGCGTATTATCAAGAAACATAAGTACCATGCTCACAAACCTACATTCATTTGTACATTTCAAGAAAGAGACTATGATTTGAGATATGATTTTTCCATGTGGATTCAGAGTGAAATAGAAGAACAACAAGATTGTCATCGATGTATTCTGTTTGGAGATGAATCTACTTTTACAACCAATGGAGTTCTATCATCTTATGATGCACTGTTTGGAACCGTTGGTGTAGTAAGGAATATTACTGGAGGTTTTTCCCAACACCAAATCGTTATTTTTAACACTTCGACACGTGTTTCGATCACCAAGTGATCATCTTCAAAGAGGAAGATTGAACTGGGTTCTATCATAACAAAATTGCAGATGTTAACTCAAATTTTATTATTGACAACAAAAATCAATACTATCAGAAAACGAACGTTTGTTTTTTTTCGCGAGAATTCGAATGGTGACAGGTACTTGAACTTTTTGGAAACTGAAGTAGGAGAGTTTTAGATGATATGGTATTAGAAGAACAGCAAAAGTTATGGTTCCAACATGACGGATGTCCTGCCCATTCTATTAGAAATGTTTCTCAGTGGCTGAATAGGACATTTCGTAATAAACGGTTAAGACGAAATACCGATCCTCGATGGCCACCTCGTTCTTCAGACCTCACACTTCTAGATTATTTCTTATGGAAATACTTGAAACAAAAAGTCTACAGAGATCGCCTCTTTAATTATTTCGATGAGCTTGAAACTTCAGTACGGGTTCATTGCAGAAATATTCCCGCTAATGTGTTGCGATCTACATTAAACGAATTTTATGAGCGAACAATTAGATGCATCGAAAGAGAAGGTGGACATACAGGGACGCTGCTATTGTTAGCACCAGTTGAGTTGTTAAGTTACCTACTGTATTTTTCTGTACTATCGCTTATTGGTTCTTTTTTGTTCATGGCTATCCGCGATATATTTTGACAGTTTATTCATATGAACATTATACTTGTGAAGCATTTGTCTCGTTGTTTTATTCTAGAGTTCTGTTAAATATCGTCGCAACAAACATGAAGTTGACGGTCACCTAAAAAAATACAAAAATACAAATCCAAGTAAATTTTACAAATACACTTCAATTTGATAAAAAATACTCCAAACTGATTTGATTGTGGCTACTTCAAATAAATATCGAGGCAAAATAGTAAAAATATGTGTCATACGGGGGTAATTCAAAATTTTCCAAAAGAAAAAAAACGAATAGCAGGCCATGACTTCGTATCGTATAAAAAAGTTTCCCATTTGTTGCACACTCAGTGGACCACACTGTATATTTAACGACAGATTTCGTCTCCACAAAACCGTTCATGTTCGTTTTACTCACGTTTCTCGCATTAAGCTCTCCCAAGCAGATCACGATATTGAATGGTTTTTCTTTTTCAGGAATTGGCCGTTTGGACACTGGTATTGTACAGTGAGTAACTTTATTGCGAATGCAACTGTAGCAGCAAGCGTGTTCACCCTAACTGGGATATCTTGCGATAGGTTTGTATTTGGATATAATTATAGTTCTTTCAATTGGAACGGATATATTTTTGAAAGAGAATGATTTTTGGGAAAAGAAGGTTTAGGCTTTCTATTTCTCCATCTTCATACAAAGAAGTGGGGATTTTCCCAAAGAAAAAAGCGATTAATTTCGAAATGACCTCTCTACAAAGTTGTGTGGATCGTGAAAGGAAGTAACTTTCATTATAGTCAATTCGGTATTGTCTGAGAGTGAAACAATTTCAATTTCAAGAATGCAAACAAGCCGGTACATCAAAGAAATCATCATAGCCGTCTCAAGCAAGTGGTACTGAAATTCATTCACAAAGTCACTGAGATATTTCTACCCGCTATGCTTCTGGAGGACGCTATGACCTGCGATAAACAACGTCAAAAGAGCCGGCCGACCTGTTTTCTCATATTGCGTTAAAGATAGTATTAATTTGCGTCGGACTAGGGGTATGAATATAAATTTTCCAATGATATATTCTGTATGATACGAAGGCAATTGAAATATCGCGAAAACTAATTTTGTTCAAATATTTTATGTTGGGAAGAACAATTTATATTTGGAGTGGTTTTTTATTTAGGATTGTTACCTTCTACAGATCTATAAAACAATCATAATATTAAATTTGAAAATACATAAAAATGTAAAAAGGGCAAAAAATCTACTACATTTGATAAAGTAATTTTTTGAAAGAAAATCTAATTTGTCAGTAACTTGAATTTATAAAATTTTGCTCATAAAAATGAATATGTATCATCTAGTGACTTTTTAAAAACTATTCATTTCCTTTATCCAACCTATCTAAATCAAAACATAATAATTTGCAGATATAACTCGTCTTTTGGTGTAAACCAATTTGATATTATTATTATTATTTTTTATACCGAAGTATACGCTGGTCAGGCCCTATCCCCCGAAACCCCGATACATTCGGAAGGGCATACCAGCATTACCAACTAACGCCCAACGATCATTGGACTCGAGGAGCATGTGCCCTGAGCAAGCACAGTGAGCCAAGAATGACAGCCTTCTGCATCTGTCCGGCTAAGATTTCTGCCTTAGTGCGGCAAGCCGGTATGATTTTGAGATTCGAGAGTAGAAAGGACATCATTCCACCCAGGACTCCAATAATCAAAATAACCATCTTGACAGAGTGATCTGGATAGGGTCTGCAGGGTTCGAAGAAAAATTTCGATATTTTATCCGTTTTTCCTCCTCATTTCTGACGATATTCGTCTCGCTAGGAGCTGAAAACTCCACGACAAATTTCGTCTTGCTCTGGTGGTCGAGAAGGACTACATCAGGCTTATTAGCTTGTATAAGCCTGAGGGTGGAGAACGAATAGTTCCAATAAATGCGGCACTTCTCGTTCCCCACAACAAACACACCGGTGGCTGGTCAATACCGTAAGAGTGCCGTAGATGGTAATATAGACTTAGGGCCGCGTTATGTCGATGTATATAGGCCGAGACCTCATATGCTGGACATGCTGATAGCAAGTGCATTAGGGTCTCGGGCACCTCGCGGCAGGCCCAGCACCTTGTGTCAGGAACCTCTAAACCCATTACGCAACTGTGGTAGACTAAGGTGTTGAAGACACCTCCCTCAGTTTCCAACTTCAGCCCACTCGACCTGAGGAAAGCGAAAGTCAGGCGCTTTGATAAGCCAAGGTCTCCAATGTTATTGAAGAAGACCCCATTCGATATTTTATCCGTTTTTCCTCCTCATTTCTGACGATATTCGTTTCGCTAGGAGCTGAAAACTCAACGACAAATGTCTTCTTGCTCTGGTGGTCGAGAAGGACTACATCAGGCTTATTAGCTTGTATAAGCCTGAGGGTGGAGAACGAATAGTTCCAATAAATGCGGCACTTCTCGTTCCCCACAACGAACACACCGGTGGCTGGTCAATACCGTAAGAGTGCCGTAGATGGTAATATAGACTTAGGGCCGCGTTATGTCGATGTATATAGGCCGAGACCTCATATGCTGGACATGCTGATAGCAAGTGCATTAGGGTCTCGGGCACCTCGCGGCAGGCCCAGCACCTTGTGTCAGGAACCTCTAAACCCATTACGCAACTGTGGTAGACTAAGGTGTTGAAGACACCTCCCTCAGTTTCCAACTTCAGCCCACTCGACCTGAGGAAAGCGAAAGTCAGGCGCTTTGATAAGCCAAGGTCTCCAATGTTATTGAAGAAGACCCCATTCATTGGCTTATCCTTGTGTTTCCGCAGAAGTGAGGTGATCTCTGCGGCTTTTATCTGAGCTTTTTGCTGAACTTATTACTATTTTTTTTTGTTCACCGTAGTGTGCGCTGGTCAGGCCCTATCCCCAGAATCTGTTTAAAATCTGTTTTTTCGTTAATCAGCTGCCCCCCTCATACGAACGACAACTCTCAGACGTTGAGAAACTTGTGCGAGCTAAGGACTAACAAGGTCTTACCTTTTAACGTGTGATTCCTAACACGATACATTCGGTAGGGCGCGCCAGCATTATCAACCAACGACCACTCCTCACGCCGTGGGGTAAGTGATCATTGGGTCCGAGAATCATGTGCCTTGAGCAAGCGCAGTGAACCAAGATAAGTCAAGATAAGTATCCAAATAGAATAGGTTTCCGCGGTTGCAAATTTGATCATCTGAATTGCATTGTTTGACGTTTCGACTTCGACTTTGAAGCCATTTTCAAGAAGTAGAAAAGTGTGGCTATACTGAGAGACACAATTCAAGGTTTTGATGTTCTGGTCTTGCCAAGCCTTCGAGACGGTGTTACCCTCATTGACCCCTGTTTCATCCAAATAAAAAATAGATTTACTCAGGGATCTGGCTTTCTTTATTTCTCTTAAATAGTTTTTTCTCCTTTCTATAATCTCTTATTTTTCTAGTAAAATGCTATTTCCATTTCGTTTCGTGAGAAATAGAGGCTGTTATATTGAATTTCTTCAAAAGATTACCACAAAGAAGGCGGCAAGTAGTTGAAATTAACAAAAAAGCGGCAATAAACATTGCAAAGGTCATTACTACATTTTTTGTTATATTGTTTAAATCAGAACTATCTATAGCATAATACTTCAATACCACCAATATAAATTCGTTCAATTTATTTAGGTTTTTTGTTTTTCCCCATTTCAAAAGGTGAAAATGCTCCAAAAACACAAATAATAACTCTAAATTTTCATATCAATCATCTGAAATTGATATTCATTTTGTTGATTGAAAACCAGAGCTTGAACATAACGCATTTATGATTCAACACCACACATGGTCGTTTCGTTTCGGCATAGGTATCTCTGAACCACAAATGCATTGCTAGACTCATCGAAACCATCTTGATTTGTGTCAGGTTGGAAATCTCTTCCCGTACCCTTTAAACTGTCTTTCGCCATGGGGGCGAGTGGTTCATAACTGAGCGGTGTTGTTTGTTAACGGCATAGAGGTCAATGACATCTATGCCGCTCTGGCCTTGTGTACCCCTTCCTGACTGGGGTATTGATGAACAAACTGTTCATTTTAGCAGACGTCGTGGGGCCTTCACTCAACTGAGCGACGGGGCCTTCTGAATCGAGTGGGGTCGTCTATAGTGTAATCTACAGCTTCCCTAACTAATGGGTTATCATGAGTTTCCGCTGACTCGAAAACTCTCTGATTCCTCAACTGAATGGACTGCTGTATTGTTAACAGCTTCAAATCTCTGCGGATGGCTTCATTCCGCACGAACCATGGAGCATTCACCAGCATCCTAATTATTTTGTTTTGCAATCTCTCCAGAGTGGAGAGATTTGTCGGAGCGGTTTGTCCCCAAGCGCCTGAAGCATACATAATGACAGGCTTGAACATCGTATTGTATATTAAAATCTTGTTCTTAAGGTTTAATTTTGACTTGCGGTTTATCAGAGGATAGAGTTTAGCTATCCTCATTTGTATCCTGTCTTTGATGTATTCAATGTGGTTTGCCCAGGTGAGTCGGCGGTCTACCCAAAGACCTAGGTATTTGACTCGCGTTTGCCATTCGATCTCCCTGCCTGAGATCGTGACTCTTGTGTCAGGAGAAACGTTTCGCCTCCCCAAGTCTATCGCCTGAGTTTTATCTGGGTTCACCCGAATCTTCCACTGTAGGTACCAGCGTTCGAGGTCGTCCAATGCGCGTTGCATGTAGACGACCGCCAGACTCAATTGCCCTTGAAGTAGAAGCCTGGATAAATTAATGCAATGGCATCTTCCCTCACGAAATATCAAAAATAAACGAAGATCCCAAGACGATCAGTTGCAAAACCAATTTTTGACATCTACCACATTTTTTGTATGAAGATGGAGAAGTAAAAAGTCAAAACTCTTCTTTCTCAACAACTTTTCATTTATTATCTTGGATTCACTATAATTTTCATCCAAACTGCTGAAATAAATTTAAGTAGGTATCCAAAGACAAAATAACTAACAAATCCTTCGCTTAAGTCGTGATTTTCTTGGTTAGCCAATTATGTTCCACTTATTTTTTTGTCATTGAGAAACTGAGACTCTGCGTTCTATTTGAAAAATACTCAACAGCATCCTTTAATGATGTCGGGTGTTTTTTCGTCATGAAATTCTGAAGATGATACCATTTCACGCAAATTGGGTCCTTGAAATCTAATCTATATGAGAGCACTACTGGAGGCTTGAATAATATTATTATTGGCCATTATTGGTAGCTACAGAGGAGTTAAGTTGCATGTTGAATCAAAACAGCTATTTTAAAATTATAAATTTTATATTCGAAACAAGAGAATCAATTATTTCAACTCGCAGTTTGGAATGTACTAATAAATTGCAAATCCAATACTAGGGCCCTATAAACTTTTACTCACAATCGTATTTCATCCCTTGTATTGTCATTACGAGTCATCATTTAGGGAAATTAAAGTCTATAAATTGCTACGAACGGTAATGACGTAAATAGTTGTAATTGAAATCTATTTGGATATATTTTGAACTGCTAATTGAATGATGAAAA